AAGCATACTAATAAACTCAAAGAATGTGTTGTGTGTATCAGTGAACCAAAAACAGTAAGGTACTGTAAATGGATACTTGCTGTGATCATGTGTAGGGGCTGGTGACAAATGTTGATCAGTGTTTCTCAAAGCCTACGGTGGCATCCTCAAAAGTTTTGTCCAAAACCCTAAGTGATTCAGTTTAGTGTCACAGAGTAGTAAAAAAATAAAAAATAAAAAGAGCATAATCACATTTAAAAAGCTGCTATCAGAGATTGAATCATACCGATGAATCGATTAATTGTTGGACCTCTAATTGTGTGTGCATGCTTGAAAAAGAACATGTACTGTTTAATACTGATTTTTCCAAAGGGATGCATGCTCTGTGTGTGTGTGAGTATGTGCTCACATTTGATCAAGAGTGTGTGTTATTAATGTCCCTGAACAAACATCAATATCATACAAGGCAACAGTGCCCCCCCCACCACCATTACTAGCTAACCTTTTAAACAAACCCTGGTCTCTCTCTGTGAGGCTGTTTCTGCAATACCTACAAGATGGGAGAAATACATTAGGAATTACACTTGCAGCTGAACAGAAAATGCTGATGGGAATCCATACTTCCTGCTTACATTTCATTTTCTGTGGCATAAAGCTGTGAGTGTACTTGAAAAACAATGTGCAAAGGAGACATTAGGGTAATGGAGAAAAAGAGTGGGGGTTGAAAGTGTGGACTGTGGTCTAAAGGTAAACTTGCACACCAGACAAACATTTTTTCACCTGTGTTTACCTGCTAAAGTTTTATCATTTAATTCTTCCTCCTTCCTTTGAGGCACTTGTCTTTCAGACATGTAAATTTACGTTTCACTTGTCCAGGAAAATAAGTCACTTGTCCGGGCAAAAATTACAATAATTTACTATTTTTCATTTTGATTGTGAATGCAGAATTCAGACATACTAACAATATTCAAATAATCTCAAATATAGTGTATAACAATAAGTGAGTGATACCAATTAATGTTCTGATAAGCCCCTAGGTGACCTGCCTTCGCTACTTTATTTTTCTCATAAGAGACCGGTTTTTGTAGTTTTTGTTTGAGACATTTTGTAGTTCTTAATAGCTGCCTTATGTTGAGAGCTAACTTATGTGCTTACTTATTTGATTTAAGATACAAAAGGGAGCCAGGGGAGGTCAAGGAAGAGGGGGGGTCACATGGGAGAACTTTGGTAGAGTGAGCATGCTGCGTCATTCAGTATACGTTGCAAAGGTTTGATTGCAGAGGCAGGGAGGCCAGCCAGAAGCGAGTTGCAGTAGTCAAGGTGGGAGATGACAAGTGCTTGGAGCATTTAGCTTTGGTTAGTTGGGAGGGAAAAAAAAAAAAAATCACAGCACCTAAACGTACCTTTCACAGACATAGGCTATCCGATTCTCTATGTTTTCAGTCTTTGAGCTAAACTAAACTGAGCTAAACATGTCCCAGATGACTCATCTGTGTTCTAGACACTTTTGTTGGCTGCACAGTACTTTAAGCTGTTTGGGAACAATGTTAATGTTACAGTTGTTTCTGTTATGCTAATATATTGCTGTTCTATACTACAACATTTTTCTGTCTATCCAGATTTATAGAGATACCAAGTATATAAACATATACAGATACTTATCCTCAATTTAAAGAATACACACGCATGTTTCCTCACAGGTGCCACATAAATATCACCTCAAACATTAAAAAATGTGAGCCCGCTCTCTCAAATGCATCACTTCGGTGCATTTCAGCCATGGACTTTTTAAACTGTATTTTTGACCTCTCTCTGCAGCAGACCTCAAAAACCTTCTTTGTTTTCTTTGTGGTTACAATCCTAAAGCCAGGCAGTCTGAGTCTGCCTAAAGTAAAACACTCATCTGGGATTATGAGCCATTTATTAATCTCAACTCAGTAATACCAGGAGAGCCTCGCTTCTGAATCCAATGAATATTTCACACTTTCATTTCATATGCAATCTCTGGTGCTCAGAAGTCTGTATTGCTGGGTGTCATTCTGCACGGTTTTATTTTTGTGTGTTTGTGTGTCCCACCATGTGTGTGTTTTGTGGAATTTATGATCCCAGTATTGAAATGTGTATTTTGTAGTATGGATGTGCTTTACATTGTTTTCTGTGCTGCAAATGTTTATCCTGAGATATTAAGAAAAGGCATTGCTATCCTTTTTGACTGAATACAATCAGAGACAGTTCAGGATAGAGTTTAGACAAAAATGCAAAACTGTCAATAAAAAAGTATGCATCTTTAGGGAGTCATAATAACTCCGTCCTCGATACAGAAACCTGCTAAACCGGCTTTAACTCTAAACCCACAATTCAAATGGTCCAATGTGTATCTAATCATCTTACTTCTAGCCAGACTGATAAACTTCTCTTTTTTGACGTCAGTTCATTAATTCAATGCTTCCTCAACAAATTTTCAAAGTGAACTGACTTTACTGTATATCACCAGCTCAGCCATCATTCACATATTGTTGCTTCCTCATTAAAATCCTATCAAAAGACAGCATTGTTTCCCACAGGAATTGGTGAGACTATGGTGGGTGGATCTTGGCCCCTCTGTAAGAAAATTTTGTAAATTTTAAAAAATTTTGTAAATTTTAAAGTTAAATGCATTAACCTGGTGCACATTTAGAGCAAAATTCAGAGGCTAAATCTATGAAGAACTTTACTCTCTTGTAAACAGTTTTGTGCTCTAGTAAACAATTTGATCATAAACACATTGTATAGATATAGATAGTGACGACACAGCGAAAAAGTTAACAAATTTAGGAACAAATTAGACTGTAGCGGGCCGCAATAGTCTCCACAATTTAGGCGAAACACTGTACAGTGAAAGCCACAAAAATGATCATAATCAATAACTAGCAACTCGCAAGCAACAGGCTGAACATCAGGGTACGTGAACTGTGATGCTTTCACTTACTGACATACATACTGAAGAGCATTTGAATGGTGATGCAACGGCCTGGCTTAGGAAAAAACAACTACTACTTGAACTGAACGAAGTGTTTAGAAACCGCAAAGTGATTCCAGATTTAATAAGCGATGAAGATTGAGAAAATATATTACAAAATGCACATTTCTCTCTCTCTGTCTCTGTTTAACCATGTGCGGCTGCAGCCTTTACGTTAATTGTTAGAAAACTGCATTTAATTCAGACTTGTGCCATGTTGGAAGTTATAAGGCAACATTCATGAAATAGCCTTCATGAACTTTCGTAAAAGGGTCCAGGGTGCTTGTTAAGACATAACACCAACATGTTCAATTGCTATCACATTATCAGAAAAGGGGTGCATTTCTCCTGGAAGCAGGGGCATCTGGCTTTGTGCCAACTGTGGCCAAAAAGCCCTGAAAACCCTTAAGAGTACATTTGGGCTCTGCCCAAAATCATTCCCTTCTTCCCTCATTCACTATTCCCTAACAGACACTGAAGAGTTTACTCTATAGTGAGCAGTAAACTGAGATTTTAAACACCATCATTTGGTGTAGCGCATGGAAATATTGTGTCACTCTACATCTACAAAATATAGGGAGTTGCATTGTGGGATTGTTACCAGAAAATAGTATACACGCCATGGGAAGTACTTGTTCGAAGTGACAACTAGTCAACAGCAGGACCAGTGTGCATGCTGCTCTCCCAGTCTCTACAAAACCATGGCAACAGGCTCTCATGATAGTAATCCCCTAGGTCAGCTGCTGAGTCACTAAGTCATATGGTCCCTGCTGCGGCTTAGTGTATCATGTAACACAGGATTATAAACATTTCTCATTTACCTAGACTCACGCTAACAAAATTATCTTTGTCACAAGATCTAAAAACAAAGATCTGAACTATAATATTTGATATGAACAGAAGCTTCTGTTTAGACAGAAAGGGAGAGAAAGAGAGAGTTCTTCCTAAAAGGTTCTCACAGCCCTTAAAGAAATACCAACTAATGCAACTTTGTTCTTAATTAGTTCAGAGAATCTCCAACAAACCCTGCAGTACTTATACATCCTTACAGGCATACAGTATGAGCCGAGGACAGGGAAATATACTATACATTACATTTTCTAGCCAGTAGGTTCTTCAAGATTTTTAAGTTGTGACCTAAATGAAAGATTCAGTCCACCATAGGGCTCATTAAAACATGTTGATACCGTTTTAATGTGCAGAGCCACCAAGGGAAGGTGCAAAATTCATTTGAGGTCGTAAGCAATGGTTCAAAAAGCCCCTAATCTAGGCCATTTATCACATTCTAATAATGCCGGAATCCATGAGACGGTGTGAAAAAACTAGACTTTCCAAAAATGAAAAATGACACATTCCTCGGGGGAAAAATAAGAATAAACGGGGAATATATGGATTGAGTTTGCAGAGTCTCCAAAAGTGAATTGCTAATGACACTGCCTAACGCTGAAGGCAAGTTAAAACCTTTTCCCTTTGAATTTTGCTTGCGAGGCAATATTCTATCCAAGGGAGTGGCTTGTAGCCCAGTGCAGCTCAATGCTCTAGAGTCTGAACACACACATCCAGACACACAAAATTCAAGACACAGATACCCGCTCAAACGTTCATCCAACCACATGCACCCTCAAAAGGATTATATTCATTATATGAGAGGTATCCAATAGGCTTGGGTGGTATCTGTATTTTTAATACCTTCCTGACAGTTCACGGGTATACGGTATATGTATTTGTGTAAAAAGTCACAAACCAAAAACAATGTAAAAGCTGAGCAGTTAGTGATAGAAGTCATGTATCCAACTGTCGAGCCTACAGTGCAGTGGGTCTAATATGCAGTAAGCCTACTTATAAGTATAAATGTTACATGGCTGTTTGTGGTCAGCTTATAGTCACATAAAACCACTGAGTTCCTCATTCACAAAGTCTGTTTCTACATTGAAGGAAGTGAAAATAAATTAAGTAAAACTATCTCACCAGTAAAAGCAGGAGCAAACATGAAACATCACACTCCACCCAAACAGGTTCTCACCTTGTCCTTGTCTTCCACCAGATCGCTGAGTATATCATCGGGGTCCAGAATCCCTCCGTCACAGTATTCAACATGGTGAGTCCGAACCAGGAAATCTCCTTCCTATCAAACAGGACACAACAAATATAAATCAACGTGTGAATAACAACCACCTGCTAATCACTCCCCCCCATTACACTTTTAGCATATGCACCAAGCGGGAAGCTTCCGGTCAGCGATCTGATGCGAACGCGGAAGTCCCTGAAACCTGCATTCTATCGAACGGCCAGCAGGGGGCGACTCTTCTGGTTGCAAAAATAGGTCTGGCTCCATTAGAAATAATGCTAAAATGACCCTACTTCTCAGCTGAATAATTACCTCAGTAAACACTTTCATAATGACTTTATGGTCTCAGTCGCCAGTTTCATGTCTTCTTCAATACAAAATGATGTTGATTTATTAAATAATGGTCGCATTTATTTTAAAATAGACCATAAAATAAAGAGTATGTTTTAAGGCGGGTTTATCTATGATTGACAAGTTATTACCATGGCGACCTGTCAATCAGGCTAGAGCCGTCTCGTACCCTCGGCACTGTGTAAATTTAACCAGCGCCGTTGAAAAAGCTTATTATTAGGAGTTGGCTGTTCACTTTCTCTGGTGAGTACATTTAGTTTTAAGACTGTTGTTCGCTACACAAAGTTATCAGCCCTGTTAAAATGAAAGTTAAGGGGAGTTACAGATGCACCTAGCTAAGCAAGCTAGCTAGCGCCACACACGGCCGTCAGCTCCGCCGTATCGTCACTTCTGGGCACTTCCTGGTTGCAAAAACTCGACATGGCGGCGCCCTATCGGCCAAACTCAAGGCTTCAAAACGGCAGGTGACGTCACGATGACTACGTCCACTTCTTATATACAGTCTATGTATATGTATATGTGTCAAACCCTCGCCTATCACCATCTAAATAAGTGAAGTCATAAGTACAGAGGACTCAATATTAAAATAAAAAGATGACGGTTGATGGTGCAACAAAACAGTCACTGTAATTTCATAAAAATAATCAACATAATCAATATAACATTTTGTCAATCTGAAACTCCCCTCACCGACCTGACTTTGTATTTATCTTGCAGCTTAAACTCTAGATAAAACAGTATAGCGTCTTGCTGTCTTAATGTGATGTATTTCTAACAAAAGGAAGACACTGGAATAATGTTATAACACAGGGAGGGTTCATCAAAACACAAAATGGAGAAAGGCAGGTTCTCATCAATGGTTTTAATGTTTTAAATTTGTATTCACCCCTATGGTGAAACAATCACATGGATTCTTTTCCTAGTAGTACAATAATTTGAGTAAACGTAAATTATGCTATGGAAACTTAGCGACCTATAATAAAACTATATTTTTTATTTCATGAGGACTTTTAAAAAGGGACTCACAGCAAAAGGTCTCCATTACTGGTCAACAACTCCTTCCCTCTGCTTCTTATTTATACACCTCCCTCTGTTCAACTCCTACCATTTCTGCCCTCTTCTTTGTTTCATTCCTCCTTACATCTTCCACATCTTTCCCCAGGTGCCTTGTACAGATTACAACTCCAGCCTGGCCCATTCGCTTTCCCTCCTCACTCTCCTTCTCCGCCGTGTTGGGTCCGTGATTAATGACATCGACACTGCACTGGACAGCTGACTACATAGAGCTGGTTGTTGAACAACATATTGAGACAACACACACGTTCAAAACGCACAAGCACACAAGCACATACAAAACCACAAACAGCCTGAAGCTTGGTATGAAAGAAAACATTACAGGGTGCTGCTCCATTAAATCACTCTTTCAGGGTCAGGTGTTTGTCACTGCTTTTTCAAAAACTCCCATCAGGAAGAGGGTAAGACAGAGCACTGCCAGTCTCAATGTCAATACCAGTCCTTACAGTAAACTCAGCTCTGCATCAAAACCCTCTTTATGAATCACTTATCCACTCGCAATTTCTAAATAATTTAATAATGTAAACGCGTTTATTTGTACATTTATACCAATTTATCTTTTCTGGTCAGTTCTAAAGACAAATCAACAAGCCAGGTCCCAAAGTTTGAAGCTGCTTGGCTGTGTAAACTTTAGGTGTCTTAAAAGTAGTTTTGGACATGCAACTTAACTGTGTTCATTAAGGCTAGGTCGACAAATAAAGTGTAATAACAAGTTCTTTTCCCCCAAAAGTCAAGTTTGGTTACACTTACTGCGCAGTGGTTCTGCTTTGTAAATATGTCTCGTCTAGTGTTCGACTTACTTAATAAACATGTAATAAAAATTAAACATTGTTGTGTTTGCTTACTTTAGATAAAGTATTTATCCCAAGTTAAATTTAGTCCAAAAAAACTTTTTTCCCCCTATTATTTCACAAAACAAGACATCTCAGTGGCTTTTCAACCATCAATGTTGAACAAGACTCTGACACTGTGGCTGTTTGCACTGTTAAATTGTCTCTCCCTCTTCCTCCCTCCCTCCCTCCCTCCCTGCTGGAATTCATTGTATGACTCCATTGTAACACTGACTTGGCTGACACCCAGGCCAGATGTATGAGGGAGAGAGATTTTCAAACACTGCATTTACATTGTTTTATTTACTCTTTTGAAAAAGTGTTTATCTTCCTTGAGCACTATCAATCAGGGTGTTGGGGCATATTAACTCTGGGACAACACATGTGAATGGTTTTATGATTACTAGGAAAAATGTCAGTGCTAAAGTGTCATATAAATTTTTGTGTATCTTTTCTGCCGTCAGCTTTGCACATAACATCTCACATCTTGAGACCAGTGTTTTTAATGACAGCCAGGGGTTCAGAATAAGTTCCAATAGTTTTAAATTGGGCCCATACTGGTTTATAGGCAAGCCCTCAATCCATCATCCCGACACGAGCAGTGAGTCACTGCACTGCAACGACTACGGCTTGACAAAAATACATGATAAACTCTACCATGTTTTACATTTTTAAAAGCTAACAAGACTACAGAGAAGCACAAAGAGTTACATTTTCATTGGCTCGCTTAAAGAAAAACATTACATTCCAGTGAGTGAACACACAAGCAAGAAAAATTTTTTTATATCAACAAAGCCCACTATGGTCATCACGTCCACATCCACAGCCCTAGAGGAGCCAACTTTTTCTCTTCTCTTCAATTTTTTATTTTTTTTTATAATGCTACTGCATTCGTGCGGGAAAAAAATGTGTCACCTGACAAAGATCTACTGATTCTAATTAATAACCATATTAGTCATTTATCAAGCAAAAACTCATTTATCTGTTTAAGTGATGGCGTGTTGTCACTCAGACAGAAGTGTCTTTTATGTTAATGCTCCTTACAACTTCATTCAAGCATGACATTTATGGAAAGAGCCGCATGTTTGCGCGATATTTGGCCCCCGTGAGAGAGAACGATCAGCAGAGAGTGAGTGACAGACCAAGGGAGAACAACGGTGAGTTAAAAATGTTATGACAGTAAGGAAGAAGAGTGTTTTTTGTTCTCTCTCAGGCTGCATCACTGATTTATATTTAAAACTTACTTTACCATCGAAGCCTAACTTATGACTGTTGTGAGCACGAGGGACAATCCCCGTCACTACTCACAGTGAATCCATTAATGTATTTTGTCATCAGTCTCATCATGTAAAGGTAATAGAGAACAAACTCTGTCTGTATTATAATATCCAACAGTGCACACAAACACTGAATAACACTCTTGTTCAATGCTCACATGCTGTATGTAAAAGATTTTGAATATTCATTTTTTCATCCATGTGGTTGGCAGAAATACTTTAAAGACTGTTGGTCAGATTATTACTGTGAGAAGAATCTCCTTAACAACTTCAAATTGGCTCTTTCACAGTGTTTCCTGGTTTATTAAACTCATTTTATGTATAAGACATAATGACACAAATTTTTAGGTAGGGCCCAATCAAATTTGTTTCCTGTTTTTCTAAGTGACCAGGGTTCTTATTCAGACATGAGACCGAAATGTTAATTGCAATCAGATTAACGTAAAGGCTCACCAGGCTGCAGCCTCTGCTGCTCTCTGTGACGCACACACACACACACGCACACACACTGCGCCCTGCAGAGAGAGATGCCGTTCCGTCACTGAAGTTCAGTTAGCTCCAAACTACTCGAGCTGCCGACAGCTACGCTCGTTATGTGCAATAAAACCTTCGCGGGTAAAAAGACAATACTTATCAGTACACCTGTCTGTAAGGTAAACATGTAGAAAGGGTTCATTTTAAACTGCTCTGTCCTCAGTCTGTCATCCTGTATGTTATATACAAGCACAGCTAACGTTAGCTTGGCAATTAGCCAAATGTTACAAACAAGCTAAATAGAAAGCTGTCTGTCTGTGGCATAGACTGGTCTATGCACATTGCTGAAAACTTAGCTACTGGCTGGGACAAACCAGCCGCTCCCTCCTTCCACCAGGTAACCTTACCTGCAGGCCGTGAATAACAGCAGAGACAAGGAGGAGGAGGAGGAGGAGGAGGGACGGATACAGACTGATTTCTAAATGTCATTCACTATTGTGATGTCAGATATTGACTTTACATAGTGACTTTGCTGTTTGCTCTAGAAAGAATATTTAGCTGTATTTAAAATATTACATTTTAATCCTGTAATTAATTTTAAAACAACCAGGCAGCTATGCACACAAGATTCTGTTTATTTATCGCAAATTATATGTCATCTCAATATATAACAACGTAATCGCACATGAATATTTTCCTCATATCGTGCAGGCCTACCTCATGCATGTTGGGTCTGGTCCTAAATAACTGTCACAAAATAATAGTAAAGTATCGATAGTGGTATTGATAGACAATCGGATCATTAAGTAGTCTCAATAAGGGTATTAATATCAATAAAGATTAACGATCCCCATCCCTAGTAGAGAGTGCAGGTTTTGGACCAGACCCTGGAGCTTCCTTCCACTAACTACTACGTGATAACAATGTGACAACCTCCAACAGCTTAATTTCATTGGTGACCTGCTGTTGTTTTAAGGTTAACAACCTCCTTTGATCTCATGTTACAGTAAGCAAGCCTTACAGCTTAGAATGCGCTAAGAGATAAGAACTG